TCCCTGTGCGGTACCGCGTTCTCCTCAAGTTCTATTTCATGCTCAACGAAATTACAACACCCGATATCCGCTTTGTGCTTCGAAAAAACTTCCTCGTTCCGCTCTAGTACGTCCTTGATGGCTTCGAGCTGTTCGTCCGTCAGTTTGCCCCTCAAGTGTTCAATCTCCGGGAGAACCGGTTTATCAATTTGCATTTCATCTAGTGTGGGCCGCTCTGGAAAGTTCGAACAGCTCGACAGTCCATCGTCCGTCTCTGACTTAAGTGATTTAACAAGACCTGATGAATATTTTATTTCTTGTAATCGTCTCAAGATACAAATTTTGTCCCTATGATCGGGACAATCAACGACTTCATTCTGTTTTGAGTTTTCAGTCATCTCATATCGGGTTTTAACCGGTAAAGCATATCCCAGTTTCCTCCCTCTCTGTATCGTGATCGGTATATCAAGGGTATTCAACAAGACACTGACGCAGAGGCCGCTCTTCGTTATCGAGAAGGATCTTATTGTCACTTAATTCATTGTAATTTTTCATCCGCAAGCCTACGATTGCCGCTTCATTCTTCTTTAGCCTCACCCTCCTACTCAAGAACACCGGTGCTTTGCTTTCATTTGCCATTATTAAATTTACCGGTTTGATTGCGTACCTCCTATCCGGGTTCCGTATCGTGAACATTGTTTAGATCAATCGCTACATCAAAGTTCCTGATGAAGTCTCTGCCTAAAATAAATTGGTCAGACTCATCTAGGTTTTCTACTACAAGAAAACTCATCCACAGGTTACGTTCCCCCAGATTGAGCGCTATTATCGGCGTTCTGCTCAACACGCGCAGGGCCCCTTTGTTCGCAGCCGATAACCGTATTCTCGAATCTATCAAGTCATCTTTGTTGAAGCCCATTCGTTCCCAAGTTTCGATTGGTATGACACTCAAGACCGCTCCCGTATCAAGTAACCCACGTAACTGAGTCTTCTTGCCACTTATGTCTAGCACGTGCCCTGTCACATCTGCCTCTGTTCCGATGTGCATCGCATCTTCTTCAAGCATGGCGCAGTGTCCAATCGATCTCACCTTTAACTCTTCCTTCCCTACGTAGATTTGCCCAATTAGGTCTTCATCACATGTTATCATTGTTTTGGTATAGATGTTGATTCCATCTATATTTAACATCACCTCATGTGGACCATAAGCTTCTGTGTATCTGTTATCAACACGTACCGACTTGCTACCCCCTCGCGTGAGTAGTGCTCTCAATGCTCTAGAAGTCGATTGTGGGCTTATTAAACTCAAGTAATCTGCGTACACATCAATGTGCATTATTGTCTGGTCGCTCGGTTCGCTCAAGTTTCTGGTTACCTCGTGGCCGCCCACTGTGATTATCGACATTATTCTAGCCCCGATTTTTGATATGCCGAATGGTTTTCCTGTCACCATCTTTACAGTGTTACAATTTCCAGTCTTTGTCGAGCCCGATACAGCCTCTGGTGCTGGCTTCGATCCAGTTAATGCTTCGTTGAAATTCTGCTTTTCGATCTCCTGCTTTAGTCGTTGTTCTATTTCTTTCGCTGCCAGATCCTGCTTCACTTTGTTGATGGCCTCCGCTGCCGCCTTCTCGTAATCTATTTCTGGGGCTTTCTTCGCCGTGGCCTCTGCTGCACTACCACATTGTGTTACAGTTTTCATTGATTTCGTTGGTAGCTCTACATTTGGTCCCTCAAGTTTCTTCGTCTCAAATTCACCTTGTCTGTTTCTCTGGTTCTGCACCGCTGCTAGCGCCAACTTGTGTTTCGGATGACTCTGATTTTTGACCGCTTCCCAAAACAACGGACAGTCCATCCTGAAGTGCCCTTCTTGGTTGCAGAAGAAGCATCTTGCTCCTATTTTGGTGATCAAGCCGCTATAGAACTCGTGTTCTTCCATCTGACTCATATCTTCCTCATCAGGTGCATATCCCAAACTCTTCATGCCCTGTTTGTATGTCGTGCAATCCGCCACATGATGATCAACTGACCCGCAGTTAGCACACGACCTGCGTTTGTCCATGTCATCTCTGGGCTTGTACCATGGCGACCTCTGTGGCTGACTCCCCCCTTGGGTGTTCCTGTTGTCTGAGTACGAGTATTTCTTGGGTTTCATCAGCATGTATTCTCTTGACTTCTGCCTCATCTCTTCTGGAGTTGGCGCATTATCTTTCGACAATGTGTAATACGTTGCTAACATCGTTCTCAAGTCATCACTCTTTACCCCGTCAATGAACTTTGAGGCTATGCTGAAGTTTCTTCTATTGGTAGATACAACCCAAGACCAACGTCCCAAGACCAACGTCCCAAGACTAATGTCCCAAGACCAATGGCCCAAGACCAACGTCCCAAGACTAATGTCCCAAGACTAATGGCCCAAGACCAACGTCCCAAGACTAATGTCCCAAGACCAATGGCCCAAGACTGTTTCGTACCAAGACTGCTCTGGTCCAAGACTGCCCCAAGGCTGCACTGTCCCAAGACTGTGTTGCCCCAAGACTGTCCCCAGACTGCAATGTCCCAAGACTTCTTCGGTACTGTCCCAAGACTCGTCACTGAGTGTCTGGATATCGGATCTCTTTCTTCTTCGTTGTAGGGATTTCTTGATTCACTGTACCTTGTACCACCACTCAAGCTCTTGTGAAAATTTTCCCAAAAACCCTCTCTTGATGGCCAAATGCTGACCCCCCTTTTTGAATTACCTCTTTTTCTATCTTCCAAGCAACTTGAAACCAAAACCTGTGCGCAGGTATCTTGTGATCACCTGTTCGTATAAAAACCAATCGCAAATCCTCACCAAAATGCAACAATAAATAAAAAAAAAAAATTTTAAACAAGAAAAAATAATAAAACAGAGAAATCAACCCACCTAAAATTCAAAGGAGACAAATGTCGACCTTCTGTCGAAAAAAAATGTCTGGTACCTAACTGCCACGCGTTTTCCTCCCCCCACGATCTTATGGGGTATCACAAAAACTGTCTATATCCAGCTTTTTAAACTGTCTAAACTGTCTACAACCAGCGTACCAATCTTAACTCGAGTTAAATTTTGGATATCCACCTATTATTACCAACGCGTGTTGATGGCTAATGTAACTAAATCAACGATGTCGATTAATTAGTTACTCTAAATTCCCCCCTTTTTACAATTTACAACCGCCAACCTCTAACCTAACCAGCCCCCTACTAACCTCCCCCCTCTTTAGCCCCCCTCTTAAGCCGAAAAATCCCTTAAGCGCCGGGTGCTAAACCTCTCGAGAGAAAACCGTAGACCTGTTTCCAGGCCTGCTTGAGTAAAAACTGCCTCAAAACAATGGGACTCCGCTTATCCAATTTACACTTATTTCCTATAATGTAATGTGGATTCTAACGATACCCGTTGTTCGACTTGAGAACACCCCTGTGCGTCCTCTTGTAGTGGTCCTGTGCTGGTTGTCTCTGTTCTGCACTTGACAGCAGAACCACTTTCCCACTCGACTGGTCACCTCTTCCAATCAAGTCTCCTAGTGGTCCGTTTCGATCCTTGTGAACCACTTTCCCACTCGACTGGTCACCCTTTCCAGTCAAGTCTCCTAGTGGTCCGGTTGGGTCGCAATCTATCTGGAAACCCTTAACAACGCCCCCCACTCGGGCACCTTATTGAATTCACTGGTTTAAATTGCTAGATTGATCGAAACGATCGGTCTTATAAAACAGTATGTGTATACTATTTAATTAATACAAAGGTTTGATCCAACTAATTTGGTATCAAAGTCACTGTCTTTTTTCGTTTTATGGTTTTTGTTCCTTTTTGTATTCTTTTTTGCTCGTGTTTTTGTCCCCCTAGTTGCCCCCCTTCACTCGGTTAGCTAAGCCTCGTTCGGAGAGCGTACCAGGAAGTTTTCTTGAGTTTTCTTAAAAAGCTATCACGGTACAACCGGAAGGTTTACACGTTCCCGCTGAACCGTACCACCGGTACTCTAGAATGGGCATGTAGCCCGGAGCTGTGTCAAGTGGGTTCGACTCCGTAGTCATGATGTCGTAAAAACACCCAGGAGCGCCATAAAAACACTATGTAACATTCGTCTACTGCAGTCACACATGAGGCTTAAGAAAAATAGGCCCTATAACCATCGGCTCAAGAGTCAGGGACACTATCTCTTGTGTTTTTCTACCTCAAGAACGGTCGGAGCCAATTCGGTTCGCTTGCGACATGAGACTAGAACCCGTTACAGCTTAAACGCCACTACCAAAATACCCCCCCCCCCACTCTAGAAGTAAAAACGTCCACATACTTAGGTCTCGAAATACCCAAAATACATGAACGCCGTTAAAAACCGGGTCGGAACAATCCGCTTAGTTACTTTTTATTGGACAGTGGAACTTTGATCCATTTCAGATGGATCAACCTAAAACTCGCCTTATCTCAACATTCCTATCATAAAATGCACTCGAGAAATTTAAATTGAGAACTCACATGTCGATGCGCTTGAGTATGAGGAGTAATTAAAAGATAAGTAGCTCGAGGATTAAATAATATAACTAAATAAGTTTGATGCTAATTAGTTTTAACAACAGAAGTAAGTTCTGTCTCAAGAATCAAAGTTTCTGCATGAACCATCGGGACACTTGAGTTGTCCTCTCTTCCATTGAATTTTCACTCTGTTCCGTTCGAATAATCGTCCTTTCTCAAGTCTGTGTTCTATTCTCCTGTTTTCGGGATAAGACAGCTCTACTCTCTTATTATTTCGTGTCGAGAAATTGCGAATAGCAATTTCCTGCCTTTTTCTTGAGTAGTTTCCCGCAATTGTTAATTCGGTCGTTCTGATTTTTCACTTTTTGTTTTCAGTTGGTTCGAGAAAACTGAGCATGACAGGCTCCATTCGAAATTTTTAAAATTAAAACTTCACTCCAAAATTACGTGTTTCTCAAGGTCAAACCTCCAGACATGACCGACTGGCACACTAAGAAACAATTGAAGATCGAAAAACAATATTTTTTAGGACTATTCAATGTGGATGCAGACAGTTTGTGGCCAGAAAAGAGCTGGAAAGGCGTCGAAAACAGAAGAAAGATTATGAAGAAACCATGGAGCGCCTAGAAAAAGAAGTATACTTGTTTAATATTTTCTGCGATCCTTTTTTATAGTAATTTAATGGTTCAACAATTTAAAGGAAAATTATCTGAAAGAGAAATCGATGAGCTACAAACTTTTTCAGTTTTAATAGAATATAATTGTCGTCTTAAATCTGCGCAGTTGCCCGGATTTAACACAAAAATTGAACACAATGATCTCATGAAACAACTTTTGTCTATCCTTTAAGTTATCTATTTTTCGAGTTCAATGTACCTAATAAAGTTGCCCATCAAAAGCAATATTCACAAAATAGCAACAAAAAAGTGAAACTTTGGGCGCTGATAGGGGTTGTTACTATGACACTCGATCCCTTATACAGTACTTTCCACCATTGTCAAAAAAACCTCATGGGCAAAAAACTGTTTTAGAAAACTGCAGGCGGCTCAAAAATTTGGGTTTTTTGACAGAGCACGGAAATCAACTTGGACGTCTTAAGGAAAATATGCACAAAACATAAACTTTTATGGAATTCCGATAAAAATCAGGACTGTAAATGCTCTGAAACAGTAACTGTAGTCCGTGAAATAGCTTTCGAATCAACCGTAAACGCAAACGCCAACCCACCTGAAGAAGCTACCTTAGAATGTCTTCCGTAATTCTGCAAATTAGTTAGGCAGAAAAAATGGTTTTATTCAAACTCGGCATGAGAAATTTTTTTAGCATTAATAAAAAAATTCAAATCTGTTCAAATCTATTATGTATAAACAGATTCAAATCTGCTTTGTATATAATACAACCCGCAATTGAGTTCCATGAAAAAAATTGATCATAATTGAGCTTCATTGTCAGTTTCCGCAAAATTGAAAAAAAAAAATTGATTATAATCAATTAAAAATGGAGCATAAGGTTTCTGGAAATGAAATTCATTTATAATCAATTTTTTTTATGAAACCCTGATGTTTTTTTCTCATAAAAATCAGGGCTGTAAATGCTCTGAAACAGTAATTGTAAACCTTGAAATAGCTTTCGACTCAGCCGTGAAATCAATCCACTCCCCTCCCACCTGAAGAACCTATCGTAGAATGTCCTCCGTAATTGAGATGCGAATTTCAACGCACAAAGAGTTTTTTCTACGTTTTAAACTAAAGTTGGTTAATTGTTGTTCAATTTAGTTTTTTGTTCCGCGCAACTTTGATATTTTTGTTACTTTTTATGTTACTCAATAACTGAATTTCGTTCCTTTCAACAACAATTTTCGTTAATTGTTCAAAAACTTGCTTTTTTGGGGGGGGGGGGGGGGGGGTGGAGGGCGGTGTAAAAATGGAGGTGGACTAATATCGTTTGCCCGTTTGCCCCTTTGCCCAGTTACAACGCCCCCACCAACCACGAACATTTGGCTTACAACCCCTCCCCAGCATGAACCCAACTGAACCCACCCACCCTATCTGAAACGGATCAGGTGGAGGGGGAGGGAGTGGGAGGTAGTTGTTTGTGGTTCAAGTAAGGAGGTGGTTGATTTGGATTGGGTGTAGGGGGGGGGGGGGTTTGGTTGGTTTAGGTGTGGGGGGAGGTGGGTTGGTTCAGGTGGTCAGGTGGGGGGAGGTTGTTCAGGTGTGGGTGGCAAAGGAGCAAACGTTGGTATGGGGGGTTGTAAGGGAGCAAAGGGGCAAACGTTAGGGGGGAGAGGTTAACGGAATCTTTTTGCAATTTGAGTTTAGGTTCAGAACTGGAGTAGTCCCTACACTCGTTTTGCTAAATTTCCGCATGTATCGCGCGTTAAGGGTCCCAAATTGGCCGAATTGGCGATCTTTAAGCCCCCATAACTTTACAAATAAAATATCGAAGTATCATTCCAGCAGCCATGCCAACAGTATTATAGTCTAGTTCAAGCTTATCACCAGGCAATTCAAAAAGTTCCGGATCGATACCCATACGCTGTCAACTCTTTTTAAAAATTGGTCTGAATAAAAAAAAAGTCATATATAATCCTAACTTGCTTTTAAAGTCGGAACATTAACAATTTCTTCAAAGCGCTGTTGTTAAAATATTGTATTTTTTCCTCCTAAATTGAATTGAGGGGAAATTATACGGTTGATCCCGGCTTTCTTTTATTTCCGCAATAGCGTTTTCTCAATAAAATAAAGCTGGTATAAAACAGTAAGCGTTTAATTGTGAATTAGCAGTTAGTTCATAATGAACTTTGCGCATTCTATGCTTAGAAGAAAACTCAAAATTAGACCGAGGGTCCAATTTATAGTTTCGGTTGTCGAGAAAGTCGAGACAGTCAAAACATACCCAATTTTGGTCGAGAAAATCGAAAGCTGTCTAAGCGGGGTCGAGCAAAATTTCTTCTTTAAAATGTCAGCCGAAAAAGTCGAGAAAGCTGAAACATGTCAATTTTTGTTCGAGAAAGTCGATACGAATCTATGCGGGGTCGAATAAACAAGTTTTCAAATTTTGAAAAACTGTCGGTCAAGTAAATTGAGAAAGCCAAAGCGCACCCAATTTAGCCGAAAAATTCGACACCTATCTATGCGGGATTAAAATTGAGTTTTTTGACCCCACATAGATATGTTTTGTTTTTCTCGACCAATTTTGGTATGTTTCGATTTCTCGAAGGTCAAAAAATTTCCAAAAAAAATATTTGGCACAGCTCAGATTCGTTTCAATCAGTGTCGGATGTGTACTGATTCTCTCAACTGTAAAATTTAAACAATTTTTTTAAACCTTCACTTTGAGTGTAGGTATGAGAACTGCAATAATTTCCAAATTTCCAAACTTTTAATAACTGTCAGTCGAGAAAGTCGAGAAAATCAAAACATATCTAATTTTGGTCGTAAAAGTTTTAAAAAATGTCGGTCGGTAAAGTGGAGAAAGTCGAAACATAACTGAACTGCGTCAAACAAAGTCCAATTTTTTTTATTGTTGGGTCGAGAAAGTCTTAACAAACCAAAATTTGTTCAAGAAAGTCTAAACATACTAAAATTTGGTCAAGAAAGTCAAAACATACCGATATTCGACGAAGAAAGTTGAAACATACCGAAATTTGGTCGATTTATATCTAAACAAAAATTGAACACCTCGACCCGGTATGGTTAACATTTTGTTAAGCCTTCGCGCCACTAAGCCGTAGGTTTTGTTGAAAATAGTATAGGCTTATCGGGTTTATAATTTGACTAATTAATTAATTGCTTTAGCAAAAGTATAAGAGTATTGCTATGGTTGATTTGGAAGTCTTTGCTCTGATTTTGAATGGATTCGAACAGAGAGAAAGTGGGATATTTAAAATATAGCGATTTGGCTGTAACGGACTGATTAAGAGTAATGAACGTAATGAACACTCTTATATAGATCCTGCTGATTTTTTTGTTTTTTTTTAAGGAAAGGTCTTCAAAGTCTTTTATAACTACAGATTTTTATTCATACATAGCATTCTAAATAGCACTCTCCAAATACGAACGTGGAAATGACGCAAAAAACCTGGACGATGTCTTCTTTCGAAAGTGGTATTTAATTTTAGATTTCCAGCGAAAGAAAAACTTTACCTATTTCTCCAGTTTTCTTTAATTGGGTTCATGTTATCAAAAAAGCGCCAATCATAAATTGTTTTCGAAATTCAAAGAGCTCAAAGAGCATCTATTTTTTCCTTCGAATATAAAAAGATGAGATTTTTTCAAGAAAATCTCGTTCAAGAATTCTAGATAGCAAGGGTTTTCAACTAAATAAGACGATGTCAGCCATGACTAGCGGTGTGCTATTTTCATTATCTCAAAATAGTTTTTCTATCTATAATTTTGTTTTCGAAATCTGAAAAAAAATGAATGGTTTTGAAACTTGTTTTTATCTACAGCAAGGTTTCATAACAAAATTTGAACCTTTCTTTTATCCGCATACCCTTTTATTCAAGGACTGTTTTCCAGGCATCCGTTGACAATTTCTTCCAATTTTTAGTCTTTTAGTCAATGACTGTTTATTGGACTTGTGATCTCAAAATTTAAATAATAATAATAATTGTAGTTCCTGTGAATCGCAGAGGAGCTATCAGTAGGCCTTAACAGTCCTGTCGAGGATAGTCCATTTGTATTATCTCCCCACATTCCAGACTGTGTTTCTTTGCTGAGCGAAGCTGTTTTTTGCGACTCAAGGCCGTTTTTTTGCGACTTTAATAGCCAAGTGTTAACAGTGCAGAGTGATGCTACTCGCATAACACAGTACGTTTAACCATATTGACGTACGTTGATATACCCGGGCTAAAACAGCGCTCAGCCAACTCGACATTTAAATATCCCCGATTGATACTGTCTCTAAAAACTTATTAATGCTTTTCAAAATCGCATTCAACAACATCAATATAAGTAGTTTTTTTTTAAAATAAAAGTTTAGATAAAGCTAAAAATGCAGATACAAAAACCTAAAAGTCTCATCGAAGCATGGAACGCGAAAATTAAACCTTAAACAATAAAAACAAAAATCTCGATATCTCATGCTGTGACTGCCTTGTAAAATCCCTATGCCCACCTGCTTAGTCATGATACGGTGTGCTTATATGGACTGTATCGCATTATGTTTTGGATTTAAATACTAATTGCAGGCGTTCGTGGCTCTGGTTCGAATGGAACAGGAGCGGCTGAGGAAGGAGCAGGAGAAGGAGGACGAAGAGAGGCGGAGGAAGAGGGAGCAGAAGAAGAGGGAGGCCAGGATGTTGGAGGCCGCATTCGACGGCGACAATGACGTCATCAAAACTGTACTCGCTGAGGTATAAGTTTATAACAATATCAATTTGCCGACAAACTCTGCCCATTTGAGACTGAACTAATTTTTGAACGGTAATACTTTTAGTAGAACGGGTCTATATTTCACGTGGAAATATAACAAAATAATGAGAATCAATGCCTGAAAAATAGCTGTAAAGTTAGTTCGCCAATATAATCATATACAGTAGCGGATTTAGGGGGGGCAGGTGGGCGGACGCTTCTCCATTCCCCTCACGAATCGACCCCCCTGCCGACCCAAAGGGTCCTCCCTTTGTACAATTTTGAGATATCCAATTTTGGCTGACTGAATTTGAAATTTTTCTAAAGGCGCCTTTGGCGCCAATCTATACTAATTATGAGGGGGGAGCGCGCGCCGAAAAAACGCTATTTTTTTGCTCGAAATTTTCCAAAAAGGGCCTAAAGAAGCCTTTTTTTAGCCTTTTTTCAAAAATTTGCGTGTGGCGCAGAAAATTATGTCAAATTAGGGTCTTTATATTGGTTTGGGAGAGCTCAGAAAAACAATTTGGTCGACCTAAAAGAAAAAGTCGATAAAATTTTCAGAATTTTTTTTGAAAAATCCCTCCCCCCCCCCCTTCGGGAAATTCCTAGATCCGCGCCTGATCATATATGAAAAGAATCTTGGTGAAAGACCAGGAGATCAATTCTCAGGAAAATTTTTTTCGAACAGCAAAAATAAAAAATTCACAAAAACCGTGATCGACTTCTAGTTTCAAAACTTGAAATTAATTTTCAGATTTTCTAGCGAAATAAAAGTTTTACATGTTGATTCAGCTTATCATAAATTGTTCCAGAAATTCAAAGAGCTTTAAGGGCATGTATTTTTTCATCAAAAATTGAATTCTCTTCCACAAATTTATCCAGTAGTGTCGTTTGGCTAACTAGCATCGTCTTCAGGCATCTTTTAAAAAAACAGTTCAACAAAACAACTTGATGTTTCTAGGTCAGCGAAATGGATGACCAAGCGGGTATACTGAAAGAGGGCTTTGGGGGGTACTTGAGAAAGAGACATCAGCTGGAGATGGTGGACTGTAGAGATGCCAATGGGAACTCCCCCCTCTCCGAGGCAGCTGCGGGGGGACATCAGAGTACTATCCTCATGTTGACGGAGAAGGGTGCGGATGTGAATAGTCGGTATGTCAGAAACGTCATCTGATATTTTTCTCTTCAAAATGGACCTAAAGTTCGTCTTAAGTTAACCTTAAGCATCGTCTAAATATTTGCTAAAGTTATAATCTATATTATTAAAAAGCCGATGGCTAAAAATGTCAAAACTTAGACGTCAATTTTAATTTTTTATTAATTGCCACGAAGATTTTTTCAGAATATAATAAAAGAGTTTAAATTTTTCTCCATTTTTTCGAAAACTATTTCATGTTGGTTTGTGATGATTTTAGGGGTCAGTTTGAGCGCACACCCCTCTACCGTGCTGCGTTCGCTGGAAACTTGGCAGCCGCGCAAGTAGATATGATTCAAATACCCTTTATGAGAAGTAGTGGTCATAAATATTATTCAGACTAAGAGGACATTAATGATTCAATGATGGTCATATAAACATAAAATTCAGTCCTTTAAGTGTGAGCTACCTTCTGGGCCGTTTTTAGACGTTTTAAGCAATACAAAAGTAATCGACTGATCTCAACTTTTTTCATAAACATTAGAACAATAATTTTCAGTTTTTATGTGGTGACACTTCAGATGGTATTTTTGACATTTGAAAAAAAGGTAATTGCTCAATCTTATTCGAATGAAATTAAAAACCTTCCATTGAATTAAATTCGATTTTTGGTTATAGGTAAATCAAACAATTTCTTATAGAATGTATTATCATACTAAAGACCTCTCTTTGAATAAGATTCCTAAGAATTACCCCTTCAAAAGATACGTACCGTACTTCATTCTGTCATAGGGAGGTTTATATTGCAAGCTTCATGAAAGATAAACAGTTTTCAATAAAATATCCTATTAAGATAGAAGATTTGTAAAGATGTTTTTTGGTGGGAAAAACTGCTCGTTTTTTTTACTTGAATACTTCATTCATTGGAGCTCTAAAATGGCTGGGTTAATTAAAGGTACTTCTGACGCAAGGCGCCGATCCCAGACTGTACGCGAGTGACGGGATGCAACCGCAACACGTGGCAGCCTCTGACGACATGAAGAACCTTCTAGAAGAGTGGGACATCTCTGTGACGGAGAGACTGCTGGAGAGTCTTCAGGCGGAGATCGAGAGGAGGAGGAGGGAGGACAAGGCCACTTGTGAATCACACACTGACAAGTGAGAAACATATTTATGGTTTTCAAAACTTTGCCCCTTGTTTTAACCCTCTGATTTCAACCCCACCATCCCTACCCCTCAAAAAAGCGACCTCAAATGGGGAGGCACAATGACATTCTAGGGTATATTTTTTCTTTCTCAATGTAAAAATAACAAAAATACTTTATTTTAGAATGCAAAGTGAGGTTGACAAGGCTCAGAAGATTTATCAGTCCTGCCAGAAACAGGTATTTAAGGAACAAGTTCTTGATAGTCCAATTAGCATAATCAGGTTTTGGGTTTATCTTTATTTAGGAATTAAAACTACTCTATTTTACAGCTTGAAAATGCGCTCTGTGAGCTGAACAGACGAATATACGAGCATGACAAATGTGTCAGAAAACATCAGGAGAAAATTCACATCACGCTCAAGGCAAGCCAAGATATCATAAAACCTCAAAATAGTTATCATATACACGTATAGATTCCTTTCACGATCACATAACTCTTCAAATAACAAAAAAATTATTATTTTTTATTGATTATTTTAAAACTCACTTCGTAATGAAATACTGTTTCTCATTGTAAATTATGTTTTGGAGTGTTATTACTTACTTGAAATGACACAATACTTGACGTTGAATTGACATGAGCATCAGTGGAACCCAAAAATTTTCAATCATTTCTCTCGGCAGCAAGTTTTTGTTTTAGTAATATTCTTGTAGTCATTTTATAACTGAATATGCTTCAGAAGTATGATCACGTTTTAAATTCAATAACATTTTAAAAAAACTTTTAAAAAAAATAATTCAATGCCGCAAGTCAATTTTGGTTGTTTTAATTTTATAACTAATTAGTTTTTTTCTCGATACTCAAAATTTGTTTTTGAGGGCAATCGAGAATGTGTTCAGGCGATCGAGGATGCACAGGAAAAAGTTGATGAGAAACAAGTGGAGACAGACAAGGCCAAAGACAGACTGGACAGAGCTAAAGTGTCCTTAAGAGAGCAGAAAAGAACTATCGCACAAGCAGGTACAACTTTTTAAATCGATGTTTGGGCGAAAAAACATTTTGGTAGTTTGCAGGGCACTATCAGCTCAAGTACGGAAATTAGTTTAGATGGGAAGTTTTTCAAATTGAAATCGAGAACTGCTTCGGACGAAATTATTTTACATCTCAATCAGAGAATCTGTTTTATAGTTTTCAGAGACGTTATTTGGGCTGGAGAATCACCTGATCATTTTTTTCAGTTCTTTTGTTTTCTTCAAGAACAGAGTTTTCTTTCTGGTCACTAACGCAATTCGATTGAAGTTTATTAAGCAGATACTTTTCCCTGATACATTTGCTGTTCTAAGCTGGGCTCTTTTTTTTTATCCAATCCAAATCCAACTTTGTATAAAAGCTGTGTATCTTAACGTGTATCTAAGCTGTGTATCTTCTGTGTATCTAAGCTGTGTAATCTTAACGATTGAAAAGTTACCAGAAAATAAAACACTGTGAACACGAAAAAAAATACTCCGAAAACTATCCGGCTGTAGAATAATCTAGAACGTTTTTTAAATAGTTTTTTTGGCTGATAATTTTGAACTGTTAAAATACTTTTTTTTTGTACAGAGAGAATGGACTCTGGGCTGGATGCTCCAGATCTTCCGGGAGAGAAAGTTGCTGTGCGAGAACTGGACGATGTTCTACTCCGGGATGTCGGCAACAAAATTGCAAGCAACCCTAAGTAGACATCATGTCTTAACTGATTCGTTGCCAGACTAAGATTTCTTTTAACTCAGTTCTTATTAGATGATAGATTTTGAACACTTTTTCGCTGATTTGAGCTATGGTTCAAACCTTAATTCTCACTTTTTAAAAATAGTTTGAGTTTTAAGTTTGAGAAGTTTATGTTACCTGTTACCTTCTGTTACAAATTTTTCTAGTTTTTTTCATAATTTTGATTTGAATACATTCGTGCAACTTGCCTAAGCATCTCTCGGCTTGGAGAAAAAATTCTTCAGCAACCCGCTGCTGTGTCAGATCTTGTTAAGTTTCTGCTTTAGACTTGCCGAAATTATAAAAAGCCCTCAACGCGCCAAAACGGCAAACAAATTTAAAAAAAAAGTAATTAAGAAGAGTACAAAAATTTTCAGATCTCTTTAAGTATAGTTAAAGGGGGGTATAGTTAAAGAGATTGCATTATCAAAAATTATCAAAAAATTTCGAACTAAGTTTTTTCCCTCTTTGTGGTGTAGGTGGCCCCTGCTGATAGACATGAAGGGCCAGGCGTCCACTTTTCTGAGGTACAGAGACACCAACTACCTCATGGCTCTCTCCCCCCAGGACATGGAGACAGAGTCGCTCCGAATGGCACTCCTAGGAGCACTGAGGTACCTGGAAAACAGTTGACTTGCTTACCGTTTGCGAAAACGAATTGTAATAACTATACTAATAGTTGCTTACGAGCATTTCAATTGTTGGTAGTTTATTTAAATAATTTATAAACCTGGCCAACAACTTTACAGGTTGGGAGAAAACTATTGGACGTACAGGTCCGTTACAGGAGTCTCAGCCTCTTTATCACAATATGGTTTTCTTTTTTCTCTGTCCGAGAACTTAATCTTGAAAGCAAGATATATTTTTTCATTAGTACGCTGGTTAGGGAGGAGGAAGGGGAGCTGCACTATAAAAGAGCGTCCCGTATTCCTCTGTTTAGATTTGGGAAGCCGTTCGTGATTGATATGATGCAAGTGGAGATGTTAGACACGGTATGCGACAGACTCAACGAGATAGGAAGCAGCTGCCCCGATAACCCAACTGGTGGATCAGAAGACACCACTGTGTCCCAGATGCTCATTGACAAGACCATAGCTAAACAAGAAAAGTATGGACAAAATAAGTTTCTAGGATTTTACTGAATCTAAAATATTTGAATAAATATGGTAGATCGTTGTAATGGAAATGTAGTGAAAACTAGGAAATTGGATGACACATGGATAACTTTAGTTTTCTAAATTACGTGTAGTTGTAATTTCACTCGAGATATTCATTTTTCTCATGGATTTCTAGGACCAATTTAGGCGCGAAGGTCTGAATATATATTCCTGGTCTGAATAATTTGTTCGGACTCGGTTGCCACAAAAAATGGACTAGAAGGTGAATCTCATATTATTTTTAATACTTTCTAAAACTAGTTTTAATTAATAACGGTTCTAATTTTTGAAGCTCAACTTCAAAGTTTCGCAAAAATTGATGAAAAATTACAAGAAAAATATTTAAAAACTGGAAAATCAAAAAAAAAATACAAACTGATAATTTCCGAACCTTCTTAACACTAACAGAGCGCTTATAACTCAATAATACCAACTTACTCAGCAAAGTTTTTATTTGTAAAATTTCCTTCCTTGTTTTAGCTTCAGATGTTTGCTGCGTGAAAATGACTCGAAAGAATACAAACTCAGTAATTTCACCGAGGACAAATTGTCGAACTTCAAGTTTTTCCTCATTACCAAATTATCCCAACCGTCAGAAACCCTTTTGGAAAAGTTCAACCCTCTCAGGGTTCATATCCCAGGTGCAGATGCGTTTGCGGACATTGACTGAACAAATTGACACTTTTACAGTGAAATTAAAACGATATTTTGACAAAATACAATTTAGTAATAGAAAAAAAACTGATTATCATGAATTTTATTTTAGCAAGAATAACCCGTTATTTGCTGTATAAGAAGCACAGATTGCCCCGTCGACAGTTATCGTTAATTTTATCTGTGAAAAAATTATTTTTGTGTTTCTGTTCAGAAATGAAGTCGATAAAATAAAGTAGGACTTGATAACTTAATAACATATTAGACGGCCGTTCAAAAAAAGTTGGTCAAAAAGTCAGAAAGTCGGTTGGTCCAGGCACAATTATCGATCCTTGTTCGGATGCGGCAACAACAATCAGCTCAACAAAAAAATGAAAAAGTGAAGTTCATTAGAGGCGAACAACAGTGGCTCCCAGTAAAAACTAGAGCTGCTGAAGTGTTGATCTATTTGTTCATGGGTAAACGGTTTTTATATAAATTAATTGTTCATATGTTTTTGAGTGAAAATTTTTTTGACTCAAATCGCGACTAAAAATGAGCTTCAATGTGATATAATATGTCAGCCAAGAAGTTTCTTTGAAGTACGTAAAAATCGGCAGAAGCAACTCACCCTAAGCCAGATTTCCTTCCCTAGCCAAAGTGTGCAAAACAAAAAAGCCACCAAGTTAATAGTTAAGCGCTGTTGAACAGTGACGCCGACCAACAAAGGGCAGTTCATATACTTTTGATCAAGCTATCGATCATCCTAAAAAATATAAGTCACAATTCGGAGTGAGAAGTAAAGTTTTAAGATGGCTAGATGAAAGCTGATTTAGATTGTAGGTAGTAAAACAGCAACATTTTTAAATATCGTGCTGTAATCATTGAATTGGTTAGCAACCATTATTTTAAGGCTTCACAAAATGAAGCAATACAGGCGACAATAAAAAAAGCTGAGGGTTGGTCTCAAGTAACGCAAGACTTTTTCTGAATAAAACATTTCAAAAGTCAGAACATTATAAACAAGCCTGTCTGATTTTTGCGTCTCTAAGCTAGAGACATCAAAACTCATCTGGACTGGAAAACATAAACCTTATTAACATCAGTGAAAACAACTCTTTTTTGTGCCTTATGCATAATGCATTACTACAGAGCTGATTTAAATTATCCAAACAAAATGAACAACGTTGGAAATTTCAAACGCTTTTTTTAAATTGGGATAAGGCTAGACAAAAAGCAAAAGACAATAGTACCTCAAAAACGAGTCAGCTTGGCGTTTCAAGTTTCAGAATTATGCCTGAAATACCATATGAATTCATAAAAAAATACATCAAATGAAGCTTTTTACCGAGCTCAACAAAAATTTAGAAAGGTGAAAATTTGCATAATGCAAAAAATTTTTTGCTTGTTGCCAAAAAACTTCATTTTTATAATATAAAACTCAAAATTTTTGCTTAAAAGCAAATTATGAAAGTTTTTCACAATATTTTGGAGAGTATAAAGTTTTTAAATTATCTTGTGCTGGTTAAAAAGCTCACGTTGATATGCTTTTGTCAATCTTTGACTCATTAATTTTTGATTTCAAAATCAATCAGTTTTTTGCGTAAATTTTTGGACCCGAATTGTGCAAAAAAACTTCTGTTAAAAATCTAAACAATTAGTTTCTTCATCATTTACACCTGAAATCAACCCGATTTGAGAACAAAAAAGGTTATAGTGTTCAAGTTTAACCAGTTTGTCCGGATATTTGACCGGACAATCAGCACTGTCTTAGAAATAATCTTATGGCCTCTATTTGAGATGAATTTCGAAATGTTTAGTCAGTAAAAAAAAACCTGTTCCAAAAAACTCTTAGATTTTTCGGTTCAGTATTTGTGACATTGTAAGAATTTGTGCTGCCTACGAGCATAGAAGCATGTTACTAGAAATAAGACAGTTTTCCGTCGTTTTGAAAATTCAAATTTTTCGTTTGACCCAAAAAAAAAAATTTGAAAAGTTTCCGTATTTAAGAAAAAAATTTTTTCAAAGTTTAGCAGACTTGTACCAAACAAGACTTATCATATCAGCGCAAAACTTTATCAGCCTCAAATTGGTTTTTTTACAACTTAAGTTTTTTTTGTGGACAGCTTACATAAAAATTGAGCAATCATTTTTTCTGGAATGCAAGATTCCAATATGAAAACATGTAACGTAAGCGTCAAAAAAGTCAGACTCTACAAGCAATCCCAATCAATTTGAAAAAAAATTAATGAATAAAAAAAAGTACGTTGAAGAGTTTCGAGAGCATTGAAGCTTTTGCCGCAATAGAAGGAGTCGATTTTAGCATAGGTTTGTTTCCTGACTTTGAAATAAAGTTTTTATTAAATCTTAAAAAGAATGTAAGTATGGTTTCTAAAGCTAAAAAGAGATTGCCTCAATTCAAGATGGAACAATTACTGAGCTGGATCAAATAGTTGCTTACACATGAAATGTACTTTAGGAAAATATCTAGCGTTAAATGTCTCAAACTAGCAAATTTGGCAATTTTCAAATTCCGATAGCTGACAAAAGATCATATCACAGGTGAAATGTTTTTTTTTTAATTTGTGCTTAGGACGTCAAAATCTCTCAGATGATAAAAAAAACACCATTCAGTAACGGTTAGTTGAAACAGGCACATCGAGCACAACTGATCTAATTTTTGTTTCAAAATTGTAACCATAAAGTTTTTGCTATAACTAGCATCTGTAAATCAAATTAGGACAAATCTTAGATTTGATATTTTTGGATTTTTAACTGGAAATGATTGTAATGGTGCTGGTTTTGGTTTTCTTTGAAAACTCTCGAGTGACCACTGTTTTTTTAAAATGGATTCCCAATTTTTACATTACTTCTCAAATTTTCGATGAACTTGATTGAACAGGTTATGCTTGGTGCAGTTTTTTTATTTATTAATTTTCCAATTTTAGATCCGCGTTTCTTATGCCATCTGAAAAATAGCCCGGAGCCTAAATGTACAAATGCTCAATTGTGATCAATTTTTGTCAAGTTATGGGCGATTGAAAATTGCTTGTTTGGCCAATTTGGGATAATTAACGCGCAATATATTTCGTTCTTATATTATGCGTAAGCAGCAGCTTAAATCATTCCAAAATTTTTTTTAGGCAAGATTGAGATTACTACTTAAAATGTGAATAAATATAGAGCAAGGATAGTCGAATGATCCAGTCGAATGTTGTAGCTGTTCCGAATATTCCAGCAATTTTCCTAAAAAAATATTTTTAAAAACATGTTTTCAACTTTTTTTTTCAATTTAGTGTCTTTTTTATTGTTGTTGATAAAATAAGAAAACTATACAAACGCGTAAGAATTTAGCGAAAGTGGCAGAGGTGACAACAAACAGTTATCTTCAAAAAACGAAAAATAAACGAAAGCATGATCCAAAATTATTTGAACGAAAATTCTACAATTGAAAAAAAAATGCACAACAATGAACTTGAAGAAAAAGGCACTTCCATGACTAGTTTTTCTTGAAAGGAAATAAAAACTTTTCATCTTTACCGACTAATTTCCATTGGTGTTGTCTATAACGAACGCTCTAATTTCGAGATCATGTTACTCGCTCAAAATTGGACCACAAATCAAAAGTTTCGAATTGAGTTGTTTATGAGTTTGAGAGAATTTTTAGGATTTTTTAAATTCGATGATTGTTTGCTTACCTGATTTTGTTACCAATATCAGTATCTACAGAATAATCACAACACATTCATAAAAAAAATCAATTCATACAAAAACAATTATACGTTTTTTTTGTGGACAGTGGGTTGAGAGAACTATACAAACGCGTACAAAATTAGCAAAGTAGGCAAAATTGAAAACAATTGTATTCGAAAATCAAAAAACAATAAAAACATGAAAAAAAATTCGAAAAAAAATTGTAAAACTTAAAAAGTATTTTTCTGGCTTAAAAAAGATTTAATTTTTTAGAAAGTGTTAATTGCCAAGGGAGCGTTAAATGGATTTTTTAAATGTCAGTCGACTCTGATGTCAATGAAATAGCTTTAATACGATATATCACTTGACTCATTCCAGTGATTACTTGCTGTACCTGCTATTGCGTGGAAAACAAATTAAAATACAACTAAAACAAAAGCAAACATAAATTGTAATGATAATTCATCAATTATGTTCAGTTATGTTTAATGAGAATTTATTCAAAAATTTCATTCAAACCCCAGATTGAAAAATAGATAAGTTCCTAACAAACATTTTCAAAAATGCCATCCGCATCTATCGGATAGACAAAAGTGACAAAATCTCCTTTACTGGAACATTTTTTCCCGGGAAAAGACCGAAAGCAAAAATTGTCAATCATTCGACGTCTTTATAGCTATCTATAACTGATTGTTTTTTTGAATATACTTTCTGTAAAAATTATAAACAATTTGGTTATGCCATATAAAAATTGAGCGATCAATGTTTCTGGCATACAGGATTCCCATGAAAACGTGTAGAGTAAGCGGCAAAGTAGTCAGGCTCTACAAACCATAGGAATCAATTTGAAACGAGCTTATTAGGTTTCAATAAGTATTACTAGTCAAGTAACGCATCCTTCTAATTTTGAGATAGTGCATGGGATGAAAAATGTTTTGAAAAATTTACATTCAATTTTCAATGCATAAACTTTTTAAAATGCTTTGAAGAATTTTGAGAGCACTCGAACGTTTGCCGTGATAGAAGTAATCCGTTGTAGTGTAGGTTTTTTTCTGACTTTTAGTTAATATTTTTGTATCAATGTCAGTATAAAGGTCAGTATAGTTTCTAAAGCTTAAGGCAGGTTGCCTCAAATCAAGATGCAAAAACTTCTGCGCAGCTTTAAATCGCCGCTCACGTATGAATACAACAAAATATTTAGCGTTAAAGGTCTCAAATTAGAAAAAATGTCAATTTTTAAACCCCCATAGCTTACAATAGATTATATCAGAGGTGAATTATCTTATAAATTTGAGCTCAAGACGTCAAATAACGTTACCTTAAAGTTATCACTATCACCAGCATCATAAAATCAAAATGAGAATATCTTAGATTAACTTATTAAACAGTTGTATCCAGTTTTTTCTCTGGCTGTTAGTT